AATAYATTTCAGTGATATAATTACAGGTTACAGTCTACTAATTAAAAATTAAAGTTAATAATAATCCTCACAATGATAAAAAGCTGGTTGGGAATTATGCAATAAAATAGAAATAAAATCAAGCCATAATTTTTTAAAAATGTATAATAATAATTCCTTTAACAATATTATTAAGTAAACAAACTTGTCCACCAAACCATAATTTTTTAATAGAATTAAGTTTCCAAATATAGACATACAAAATAATTATGTCTATCTACAACTAAAAATACTAAAACATATACTAATGTGGTGCTATGTGGTGCTGAGGATCAAACCCAGTGCCTCACACATGCTCCCTCACTGAGCCACAACACCAACCTCAAATATATTTATATTTGAAAAAAGAAAGCTAAATATTCATAGATCCACTATATGTAATCATCTTTATTTCTTAGCCTATTTTTCCATATTTATTTTTCTAAATTTCCACTTAAATGTTGATACCAACATTTAAAATAGAGATACACTATTTTCCTTCTGAATCCTCAAAAGAAGGAAAATAAAGTCAACAAGGATATAAAATTTTCTAACTTAAGAAATAGCCTCTGTAGCCAGGTGGGGTGGCACACAATATAATCCCAGCAATTTGGGAGGCTAAAGCAGGAGGCTGAAATTCAAAGCCAGCCTCAGCAACTTAGCAAGGCCCTAAGTAACTAAACAAGATCCTGTCTCAAAATAAAAAATAAAAATAGGGGCTGGGGATGTGACTCAGTGGTTAAGTGCCCCTGGCTCAATCTCTGGTACCAAATAAAGAAAAATAATTTAACTTCTCTTATTCTTTTCTTGAGCAATTCTTACTCTTTCTAGTTAATTCTAAATTAAATTTCTGGTTGCTCCTTAGGTACATTATTTTATAAATATATGACTTCCAAAAATTTGGAATTGTAACTTAAAAAAATATAGTACTTACAGATATACAATGGAATCATACTTAAAAAATTAAAACAAGAGACTGACAAAATTATTATTTACGAACAAAAATGTCAAACTGTGAAACATCAAGAAATTAAGACCATTTACATAGTGGCAACATCTATGCCCTGAAATATTATCATTATTGCTAATATCATTACCTATTAAATATAAGGTCTGTACATATAGCTAGACTGGTGTTAGTGGGAAAATAAGGTTTCTAAGAATTTAGGATTTTAAAATATAATGTAAGTTTTAATATGATAAATTGCAAATATGCTTACTTTGATAACACATGGTTTAAAATTAAACTTTCAAATTAAGATTACTAAATTTCATGAAGAAACCCCTATAAACACCTATTCTAAGACAAAAGAAATCAGTGGTGTTGGATTTAACACTGAAATAAATGCCCGCCTGTTTTGAATTTGCTCCGGAAACTGGAAGGTAAGGAAACAGAACATGTGCTTTTAAAAAATTCACAATCATTAAGATGATGATGGGAGTCTATGGCACTGTAGCTTTTACATCACAGTAACTTTATTCAGAGCACTCTAAAGGGCACATGAGAGACCCTGCAGTAAAACTAGAGTAAACTACATATTAAAATCTATTGCTGATAACCAGAAAGAAAGAGGAATTGGTCCTTTTAGAATTTCCAAAGACACACTGTCAGCCATTAAGAAAGAAAATGAAGATGGTCTGATGGTTAATCTCTGAGGAGAAAGCACTATGAGTATTCTAATACCATGGTAAATGCTGGAGCAACTTGTTATGTATTGGGCCCTTTGAAAAAAGGTAAAAGCACAATATTATAAAAATTAAATAATTCCATTTACCAAGATAAGAACCCCTCCCACAAGATAGCATGAGAAGAGAAAAAGAAGTCCTTTGTGATGTGGATGTATGCTGTAGTGCAGCTATGAAAGAAATTAATTCCCAAGTGCCTAGTCCAGAGCTCGATAAATACCTTTTATTGCTATTCATGATCTGTTGTTAGAGGCTTAAAAACAAGACAAGCATAATCAAAACCAAGCTTAACAGAGGGCACTGACAACTATAGATGCTGTGAAGATGTGATCAATCCCAATAAGTAATAATGAGATACAGAAAGAAAACAAATACTATCCAAGTGGTCTGTAAGGGCTGTGCCAATAGACATAGAAGATTATGTAAAGTACATGAAAAACTGCTGCTTATTATTAGGCTTAATAATTAACTTAGCCATGGAAATGTTACTCAAAAAACAATGTATATATCCCAGTTTGACACAGACTGGGTTCCCACTACAGACCTATTTTACTTCTTTTTTTTTTTTTTTTTTTTTTTTTTTTGTCTGGGAATCTAGACTTTGGTCAGTCTACATGTAGGAAGTAAAACCAAGAGAATGCCCTAACTTCTGAGTTTTAACTACTGAGAATAAAATATAAGAAAATGAAATGAGTTAAAGAAAGCACTTGACTCTAAATGTTAATGTGAGTAGGTGAAAAGCTTTAAGGCTGTTCTCATAACTTTGCCCACTGAGAAGTAACCTTCACCCTAGAATGGCCTCACAGTCAAGCCCTGGAGCTTAGATGATGAAATACTCTTCATTTCCTTTTTTTTGGGGGGGGAGGGGGGGGCACAGGTAACCAGGGATTGCACTCGGGAGCACTCAGCCACTAAGCCACATCCCCAGCCTTATTTGGTATTTTATTTAGAGACACAGTCTCACTGAGTTGCTTCGCACCTTGCTTTTGCTGGGATTGGCTTTTGAACTTGAGATCCTCCTGTCTCAGCCTCCTGAAGCTGGTATTATAGACATGCACCACCATGCCTAGCTCTTCATTTATTCTTGATGAGCCTTCTCTTCACAAGACTRCAGGAAATAACTCACCCTTTCCCAACACAGCCTTTCAACTTTAAGGTCTGAACTATATTTCTTTTAAATTCAGCTTTTTCATTTAAAGGCAGCCCTGAGTCCATGGATTTCTGCCCATGGATATTCCAACTTYTAACTGCAGATTCAAAGAACTTCAGAGCCTGGTCAATCCAAATATCTTAAAGGATAAAACTGAAAGGCAAATAGACTATAACAACTTACAAAATAGCAGCAATACAACTAAACCGAAAATCTATTGGAAACTAATCAAGTGTTCTACATGTTAAATCTTGATTTTTATAAAAAGACAATTTCTTAACCAATGATCCACATCTTTTTTTTATATTTTATTAGAGACAGGGTTTTGTTGAGTTGCTTATGGCCTCGATAAGTTGCGGACGCTGGGTTTGAACACTCGATCCCCTGTCTTGGCCTCCTGAGTCACTGGGATTACAGGCATGTGCTACCACGCCTGACTTAGGTTATCTTTTAGAAAGTCATTTTAGTTGTCTATTTAAGGAGGGGAATCTCGTTGTTACTTTCCTTTGTACCAGTAGTATATGACTTAATGAATACAATGTACATTTRGCAACAAATAGAAAACAAATCAGTATTAGGAAAATGATTCAAAGACTAATACAAGCATACCTAATTCTATTGTTACCTGATCCAGAGAGACAAAACTAAGAATATAAGGCAATTAGAAGAAAGGATGGAAAATGCTTGGAAGCTCCAGGATATAAAATGGAGTAAACTATCATAACATGGAACAGAGGTCAGATCCCAAAAGAGAAGGAGCCCAATATTCACATGAAACAAAGAGAAACACACTTCTGGAGTCAAATACTGATCAGAAATACTAGTTAACTGTGTGTTTTGCATAGAAAGCAAGTTCTCAATAAAAAAGGGTATAAACTAATCTGTGTTCCAAATGTCTATKAGCTGATTTCAGGTAGGAAACCCCTAGAGCCACTATTAGGGGCAAAGGAGAAAAAAAAAAAAAAAAAAACCCTCCAATTCCCATAGGAATTACCTCACATAAAATAAAACACAAAGCAATTAAATGACACCTCAACTCAAACATTTAAACCGATGCCTTTTATCCAAAAGAGCACTATACTTCCATTCAACATTCTTGTTTCCTCGTGCATACTCAATATTATTTTGAAGTTCCACAAATCCTTGGTTTATTTCAAAGGTACACAAGAATAATATAACATATAAAAGAGACTCAAAGTATTTACTATAAAGCAAAGAACATTTAAAATTATAATCACAATAGTTTATTATTGGAAAAAAGTGGCCTAGCTTTAAATGTTAACTCTAGTCACACATGTGTAGTGATTATGGGATTAAGGTATTAGTCACAACTGTCCTTCAACTCAGCAGTTAATTCAGTATGATCTTTAGACTGGGTCTGACCAGAAGAGCTCTATTTGGAATATTGGTAATGAAAAAAAAGAAAGAAACTAACAACTGATCTCTGCAAACAGTCTTTTGATCAAGGTGCAGACAGAACAAGGCAGACTGGGTGACTTGGAGGTAAGAAAGCATGGGTGTACATGCACATAGAGGAAACAGACTGAACCTTCCAGCTCAGGGGCTGGAGRGAACTGAATGAACAAGTGTGAAGCCACACTAAGCTTTCAATAGCAGGGAAGAGCTGGGTTTTAGGAGACTGACAACTTTGAAGCTGTTTATATCCTCTACATATTTTAAAACCCTATGTTTCTCTTGACAATTAGGATRTTCATTAATATGTCAAAATGAATGAATCATTCTAAGCAGAAATGAACAATGCATTTAGTTAGGTCCCAGGGGTTTTAGAAGGAGCCAGTAATAGTCACAGCAGCAGAAATCAAAGTAAAAAACCACCTGTGAAAGAAAGGAAGTGCAAGGGTAAGAAAGAAAAATTTGAGGCTCAACTACACCCCTTTCTCTGTGTATGTGGAAAAACTGTCCCTCCTTTACCAAATGTTTATTTTTATTTATTTATTTTTCCAAAAGACTTTCCCAATAACTTTCACTTTCATGGGATAGTAGAATCAAAGCACTCCCAAGAAATAAATACTAAATAAAATCACCTCAATTCGCACTGTAGAAACTAAYTTAACAGTACTGACACAGTATGGTTCTAAAATGGAGATTTCCATTATATACATTTAAATAACTTATAAAGACTCACCTGTAGGCTTAACTGAATAAAACCCAATGGCCTCTCCTTTCTTCCACAGAATCTTAGCATAATCAGAACTGCTATGACACAGGAATGGGATCTCATTTCTCTCCATTTCCTGTTTTCTATAAATAATTCGATTCAGAACATACAGAACCACTCTCTCCCCAAGAGTGCTCACCTACAAAGAAAGTCAAACAGCAGGCACAGCAGTTACAATATGCAGCCATTAGTACGGCTAGTCACCTTGCTCCTGCTCCCACATCTCACACTGGTATCCAGAGCACCTCAAATACATTTAAAACAATTTATAAACATTTTATATCACAGAGATGAGACAATCTATTTTCATAGACACATTTTATGCATGGAATAGAGCCTCTTAGCAAATTCTAAAACAGACAAAACAGGTTCCCAACACACCAAACACTCAGCATCTCTTTCAGGGCTCAGTGTTGTCTTTATGCTTCCAGCCACGCAGATCCATGGTCTCCCAGCCCTAAAWGCAGCCCCCTCCCCCAATATATCCTGCTTCAACCCTTTTACCCCATTCCATCCTCCACATAAAATGAGGAAAAAGGAAAAAAAAAAGGGGGGGGGAGTGTTATTCCCTAAAGATTTTAAGAACAGTTACCTCATTTGATGAAGGAAGCCATAATTAAGCCCTTGGGAAAGACATCTGTCCCACCTTTTCCAGGTGAATGTTCATTTAACAATTCTTCTTACTGTAACTGTAAGAATATTCCATACCACTCCCCATGTCCCTCTCCTAGACCAGATGAGTGAGGACACTAACACCAAAAACATCCAGTGAAACATTCTTGGGGCAAAGACAGAATGGAAACAGCCTCACCTCATACACACAGGACCACATGGTCACAGGTACCCCAATAATACCAACAACCTTCTAACATAAAGGAGTCAGTTTCTCACCACCCCTCATAGAACTTCATGCTAAAAACAAAAGAGTTCTCTACATAAAGTCTATTTTCCCTTACGTCTCCTTAAATAAGAACAAGTTCGTCCTCTGATTAGTCAATTGAAGAGAAGAAAGGATTAACCATATGCACACACTACTTTCAAAAATATCCCTGGCAGGAGATCTCCCACACCAAACAACAAGAAATGATAGCACTGACTAACACTAACATAGTCAGCAACCTGTTCTTTCCTTGCCCAGCTCTGATCAAAATTTTTTCCCATACTAAGCTGAAATCTAGCTCCCAAAGACTATACTTTGTTATTCTGCAGCCATACAGACCACCAATATTTAAAGATGGTCATGATATTCCCCTAAGTTTCACACCAAAGCTACGCAATGGAACAACTAAAGGAAAAAGCTAATCTAATACAATGTGTGGTACTTCTGCCATTCTAGTCCTCTCTTGGAAGTGYTCCATATCCCTAAATCTCTCTTCATGTTTGGCACACAGGAACTGTAGAAATAAATACTGAAGATGCCAATGAGGCAGTAGGATTTAAGGTTTCTGCTAGCTTCATTTTACTAATTAACTAAAGCCAAAGTCTTTTTCACATGAGCTACTGTTTCAATTTGGTATTCATGGTGTGTATATATAGTTTATTTTTTTTTAAACTAAGGTATTTCTTTACATATTTTCCTGTTTAATTTCATCATGTTAGCCCCTTCTCTGTGTTTCTTAATGCTACCTTTCAAAGGTTAGAACCCCTATTGGGTGCTGTGACAGGCAGAATTGATAAGTATGCCACCTTTGTCTTCCTCCCAGTAATGGTGACCAGGACAGAAAAAGTCTTCAGTATGTAACTGAAGACTTCCTTTTCATATAAATGAGCACTTAGTTTCAGGAACAGAATTATGATCTTTATAATCCCATTTAATTTTACCACAATATATGAGACAGAGGGAAATGAGGYTCCTAGTTTTCAAGTAAAGTCATTTACTTGAGGTCATGAGTTCATTAAAAACAACGATTATGCCCTCCTGTGACTTTACCAACCTATTTTTCCATAGTGGTCAGGATTTGGCAACAGCAGCAGTGCTATTTCACTCATGTTCCTACTTTCTCAAAAGATGCTGCTGTCATAAAGTAATTAGGTTAGAGGAAACCTACTGTAGGAATCCAATTCATACCTGAAGGTTTCATAGTTTCTTTACTTGTGTAGGAGAGGCTACATGGTCTGTGTAAGATTTCCCCTTCTCCAGCCTTGAACATTCCTGTATAATATGTCAAACTTCAGTCAAGTTTTTATACACCTTTCTTAACATGTACATTTCCTCTATCTATTGGGGCTATTCCTGAGAAGAAATTATTCTCCTCTATTACTATCTACTCCTTCCATCTGATGGCTTTWTGCAGGTTATGAATTCCCTCCTTCCCTTCATTTTTGGTTCAAAGTTCTTTATCAGACTGGCAGATGCCCACGTATACACATTCTCCCAGCTTTTGTGAGAGGTGCCTATTGCTCTGAAATTTCAAGGTAAATTCAAAAATTAATATCCAAAAGGATAAATGCTGACTGTATTATACTCCTCCTACAATCACAAGCGTGATCACTTTCAAAGCTGTAATCTCAAGCCAGATGCAGCGGTGCATGTCTATGATCCCAGCTAAGCAGGATGCCAAGGCAGGAGGGTCACAAGTTCAAGGCTAGCCCAGGCAACTTCGAAAGACCTTATCTCAAAATTCTAAATAAATAAATAAAAAGGGCTGGGAATGTAGTAAAGTAGTACTGTACCCTGGGTTCAATCCCCAATATTGAAAAGAAAAAAAAAAAAAACTTTYAAACCCAAAAGGAAGAAATGAGAACACCTCAGTAACCTGCAAGATTCTTGCTTTCTTTTCCCAGATTTTGAAGTTTCTTGACATGCTTTCATGCTTTCCTTGTTTCTTCTGAATAGTCCAATGATCCCACAAAAGTAAACAGAAATAGCTGACACCTTCCAGATTTGACAAGTTTTTAGACACTTGGCCTATCCTAAAAACCTTCTAAAGGAAGAATTATCAGAATACATATTTGTATATGTTAACTTCATTCCTCTCAGCAAAACTCTCTTCCTCTTAGGCATAATTAACAAGGATCTCTGTACCTATTATTGAATAGTAGTGCTTACCTAYAAAGTCAGTATTCTCCTTAAGTAAGAAGGGTCTGATGTACCTTCGCCAGTGAAGGGGCCTATTCTCTTTCATTGTAAATGGCACTCTTCCAGCCACCAAACATGTCTACAATCTTTGACCTTGATTCCTCAAATATTTTTACAACTGGTGTCTGTGGACTTTSCCCTCCTGACCTAGTTATCTTCTAAAAACCATAGTACCTGAAATGTCTCTGAAACCTTTTCAACACCAGCATGCAAGCCAGKGTTCCTTCTGTAACAAACACTGCAGTGGATGGCTTCTGGCTGGTCTATACTCCACACCCCACARAGGCTTTTGAAGCTTGTTCTCACCAGAGTCTGGTTACTCCACTGTTCAGAACCCGAAACAGGTCACTAGAGGAGGCCCAACTAATAGAACAAGTTTCCTGGTCAGTGTCTCCTAGAGGCAGAGAAGTTAAGTAACCACACGAAAAGAATTAGGCTTTCCTCTTCCAAATAAGAAAATCAGAAGCTAAAGTGGATAAAGAATGCCACAGCTCAACTAACCCACAGGTAGTCAGTCTCCCTAACCCAATTCACAGAAAATTTCAGAATCACATAAAATAGAAGAAACCCAACCTGAGTGCTGGTTTGATCATAAAATAAAACTCTAAGGTCTTAATATAACCAGATTATATTAAAATGGAAAAGAGTTCCATAACTTCAAAAACAAGCACTGTTTATAGAAAATATTGATTTACAGGATCATTACCTGCTTAAGACCCTCTCTAGAAGGGACAGATGTTTTCACAATATCATCAATAGCCCACCACTGATCAGCAAGGTAAAGTGCCACAGCTAAAACAGAATAAACAATCATGAACATTTAAATTTTAAGTGTTAAAGTCTACAATATTATTATCTGATAAGGTTTTTAGATACTCTTAAATAGACCCATACATTGTACTTTATAACATAATAYGGTCCAATTTATGCCATTTATTTTATTTCATCCATTAAACACTTATTTAATTATAAGCAATTAAGAGTTACATTTTTCTAAAATTAAAATTTGAAACAAGTTTTCAAAAACAAATTCCTTCATGACACTATCATGTTTATAAATTTCTAATAGTTTGTTGAAAAAACTCGATTTACAAAAATGAAGCAAAAGAGTGACCTGTGAGTGAATCTTCAGGTGCAAAAAGAGCAAGAATTTTCTGGGTCTGATTTCCACCATAAAGAGGTACAAAGCCTACGTTTGACAGGCTAATAGGTATCTGAAATGACAATTGAGAGAAGATTAGTGAAGAGTTTGTTAACCAATGTAATTCCACAAGATGCACAACCAGAAAAATGGGAAGTTGTACTCCATGTATGTATAATTCATCAAAATATCTTTTACTGTCATGTATAACTGAAAAGAATTTTTTAAAGTCTGTTAAGAAAATACATGACAAAAACACCAAAGTGTTTATCAAAGTATCAAACTTTTCTTATATTAATTTTAATTATATAATTTCATTTGACAGAAGACAATATTCCTAGTCTCTTATTTTTTTAACATTATTTTTTTAGTTTTAGGTGGACACAATATCTTTATTTTACATTTATGTAGTGCTGAGGATCGAACCCAGTGCTTCATGCATGCTAGGGGAGCGCTCTACCACTGAGTCACAGCCACAGCCCCTCCTAGTATCTTATTTAAAAAAAAAAAAAAAAAGTAAAATCAATACCTTTTGAAAGAATTATATTGTCTTGGGGGAATAAAAACAAAAATTTATTTCAATAAATATTACTAGGCTCTAGTCATATCACTGAATAAAAACAAAAGCCGTATACAATAGGCCCCCAAAAGTCACTGAAAATCAAGATAATTAAATAAAGATAATTTATTATCTTTATTTAAAATAGACTATATCAGGGGGATACATTTCATTTTCTAGAAAAATAAACCAGTTTGGTAATTCATTTTTCAGCAAGTTACATATAATTACATTTTTCTGTTTGCATTAATCTAACACTAATTCTTCACTTAAAGTCAATATCTCAATGTTGACCATTATGATGGTAGGGAAGAATTACAAATCCTTTAAATCAACGTTATTTCCAGAAGGAAAAACTGGGGTGCAGAGATTAAAGGAATTTGCTTACCTCAGTTCACAATGGAATTCAAATGATTCAAAGTCTAATGATCTTTGTGTCATAATGTACCATGGCTTACTGACAAGAAAATCTGATTTTACTATTTTTCAAAAGAGGAAGAAAAGATTCATTACACAATAATGTAATGTAGTATTTTCCTGATTTTTTTTTTCCAGTCTTGTTTTATTGTACTGGGAATTTTATCTACAACTTTGAGACTGGGTCTCTCACTATTCTACTAATGCTGGCCTTGGACTTGTGATCTCTTGCCTCAACCTCCTTATTCGCTAGAATTACAGGTATTTATCACCAATGCTGACTTTGCTGATTCTTTTAATTATAAACAAATGTCTAAACTCACAAATTCTAAATCTAAAGTAAATTTAATTGAGTCAGCTCCAATATGATAACCAGTCTAAGCAAAATTGATAAACTTCTTACATTTAATTTTTAAAGATCAAAAGAAAAACATTRAGCAATAACCTGTGAAAACCTGAGGATTTTGTCTTTTAAAAACTGATCATAGCCAGGCACAGTGGYGCACACCTGTAATCCCAATGGCTAGGGAGGCTGAGGCAGGAGGATCCAAAGTTAAAGCCAGCCTCGTCAACTTAATGAGRCACTAAGCAACTCAGCAAGACCCTGTCACTAAATAAAACATAAAAAAGGGCTGGGGTTCTGGCTCAGTGGTTAAGCACCCATAGATTTAATCCCCGGTACCAAAAAAACTGATCATCACTGGACTTRWGTAGTGTATACCTGTAATCCCAGCAATTTAGGAGGGCTAAGGTGGAAGAATCCCAAGTTTGAGGCAAGCCTCAGCAACTAAGTGAGGCTTTAAACAACTTAGCAACACCCTGTTTCAAAATAAAATATAAAAAGGCTGGAGATGTAGCTCAGTGGCTGGGCACTCCTGGGTTCAGTATATCAAAGGGGAAAAAAAAAAGCCAAAATTGATCATGATGCTCTATTAATCAACCAATATTAATACATTTTACTGGACAAAACTGAATGATTAAAACTCTTAAATGATCTTTTTAAAAAGGATATTGAGTTCATGTAAAAACTGGACTGAAAAGACTGATTAAAAAAAAAAAAAAAAATCACTGCAAAATGCCTTACCGTAATATTGAGAAAAGAAAAATACTCTGGATTTTCAGGGTCCCCACACCTTAAATCTGACATGTAATCTTCAGCAGCATTTTCCAATTCCTCATGACTGCAATTATTCAGTAAATCCACAGGGAATGCCATCCTCTTTAACAAACAACATGGAACAACACATTTCAGAATATAAAATGCCACTTTCCTTTACAAATTCTATTGTAATACTGCCACATTTTATTGTAACGAAACCCTCCTATTTCACTATAACAAGATACACATGATTTAACCATGTATGTCAAAAAGAAAACTTTCTAATGTTATTCCTTTTAACTAAAAGCAGGCAATGAAAGAGAAATTATTGGACACTACCTTCAATGATAAAAATAAATGATTTACACAGGTATAAAACATACAATATGCAGATACACACAAAAATATCCATGTAAATATATCCTCATATACCCCTCAACATAAGTCAATGTAAAAGGATACATGGAAACTTTTTGGAATGATGCAAATGCTCCACAATTAGACTGTGGTCATAGTTACACAACCTACAAATTTACTTTAAAAACTCACAGCTGGGGTTATAGTTCAGTTATTAGAGCACATGCCTAGCATGTGTGAGGTACTAGGTTCAATTCTTAGCACCATATAAAAATAAAATAAAAATACTGTTTTCATCTACTAAAATATATATTTTTTTWAAAAAAATCAACCCCATAAATGTACTAAAAAATTAATTATATTGTACAGTGCAGTGGATAAATATTGTATGAAAATTATATCTCATAAATATGTATAAAAACATGCACACACAAAACCAACCTGTTATTCTTTTATTTCATTTTGGAATGTTTTATAGTTTAGTTTTATGAGGAAACACTATAGGCTTTTGCACTACGATAAAGAAAATTATAAATTTAAGAAAAATAAAGACTCCCCTGCCACTACAGAACATTATGTAGGTATTGGCCAATGCAACCAGACAAGGGAAAGCAATTAGTACTGATTGATGGAAGGGGATAGGGTGGGGCAGCAGGGAAGAAGGAATTATCATTACTATTTGCAAATATACTAAATTGGAAACCATTTGCTAAAATACCTTGATATAAAAACGTAAAGTCAAAATACCCAAATTCAGTCCAGCTGTTAATAAATGTAAATGTCTAAATTTTCCCTTTTAGGGGAAACAAACAAACAAACAAATTTATGAAATGATTGTGGAAATCCCTATGAAACAAGATTTCTAGCCAAATTTTAAGAAGAAGGAAAAGGAAAACACCAATGAATTTCAAGAGAGAGCAGGAGCATGGCAGAAGCGTGGAAAAGGTAAGATGTATCAGTTCGGAAAGGACACAAAATGAAATAGTAGGTCCGCGGTAAAAGAAACTTAAGTGTTAGCCTGGGCAACTCTTTCATATCTGAATCATAAATTCAACATGTGGGGCTGGGGTTGTAGCTCAGTCTTGACTGRGTTCAATCCTCAGCACACATAAAACTAAMTAAATAAAATAAAGGTATTGTGTCCATCTACAACTAAAAAGGTTAAAAATAAATAAAATARATTCAATATGTGAAAGCAAACTAAGGAAACACATTATGTTCCAGAGTCAGATCCAGCAATTGACTGAAATTTTAGATGAAACCATAAACATAGAACAAATGGCCAACAGCAGATAAAAAGAAGCACTGTTTAGGACCCTAGTTAAGAGAATGTTATTATGTGTTTCTCCCCTCTTATAGATGGGATTCCAAATATCAAATAGCCAACTGCCTAAATATTTATAACAAAGATCCAAATATCCTAGTAAAATACTGAGGCGTTTAATATTCGATATTGACTACATAAAGCACAAGAGGATTAATATTAAAACAATTCACAAGATTCACTTGAATAACACCTACCAAAATAAGGTACATGTTTAAAATTTAAAATTGTACTTAAAAATTTAAAATTTTAAATTTTAAACACATTTAAGATTTTCATTTGCTAAGAGTGATTATAATCTAAAGGGTGAACTGTAAATTAATATTTGCAGACCAAAGTCTAAAAAGCAAAGTTGATTACACCACATAAAAACAATATGGCATGGGCTGGGGTTGTAGCTCAGTGGTAGAGTGCTTGCCTCTCATGCGTAAGGCACTGGGTCCAATCCTCAGCACCACATAAAAATAAAATAAAAATATTGTGTCCATCTACAACTAAATATATATTTTAAAATAATATGGGGGGCTGGGGTTGTGGCTTAGTGGTAGAGTGCTCGCCTAGCTTGCATGAGGCACTGGGTTAGATCCTCAGCAACACATAAAAATAAAAAATGAAGATACTGTGTCCACCTAAAACTAAAAAATAAATTTAAAAAAAAAATCAACAATAATATGGCAGCCTAAGCAAGAAATACAAGATGGACCCACTGTAACAAGCGTGCAATCAAGGGGGCTGGGTCTATAGCTTAGCAGTAGAGCACTTGCCTAGCATATGTGAGGCACGGGTTCCATCCTCAGCACAACATAAAAAATAAATTAATAAACAAAGATATTTTTTTTTAAAAAGTGCAATCAAACAAGTTTACGTGATTTTTCTCTTTTTCATGTTTTGCTTTAATATTATGGTTCTTAAGAGATTAAATGCTAATGCCACWTTTAAAGTTCTAAATATGCATTTCTTTCTTAAATTTTATTAAAAAGGACAAAATTCTATGAAATGGGTAAAATAGGAATTGTGAATAAAGAACTCAACGACATACCACTAAAATCAGAGAACTTCAGGATACCAAGCAATCTCAGAGGTCTTGGCTTCTCACTAATATGGTGTATGTAAGTCATGTATAGGCCCACCTTCCTAGTTCATGGCAAGGGGAAGACTGGAGACATAGGCTACAGGTCTCCCCAGTCCACTGATCTCTATCCCAGTGCTGCCCAAACTTCCGATAATTTCCGTACTACCTCAACCTTTTTCTATTGCCAAGTGCCTATGTCACAATTTAATATTCTTCTTAACCACTTATTTTAATAATCTATACACACATACACATCTCATCATAATGCTGTCTCCCTTGTGGTAAAGTATACATAACAAAATGTATCATTTTAGCCAATTTAAAGTGTTCATTCACAGAAAGAACATTCACAATGTTTGCAACCACCAAAAGTAAGTTCAAAAGTAAGTGAACTATCCATTTCCAGAACTTTTTTATTACCTCACATAGAAAATCTGTGCTCATTAAACAGTAACTTCCCATTCCTCCCTCTCTTTAGCCTCTGATAACCTGCTTCTATGAATCTGACTATTCTAAGAACCTTTCAAGTGGAATCATACAAAAAGTGAAAAGGACACACTTTTTTCACTTGGCATAACACTTTCAAGGTCCATCTATGTGATATTGTGTATCAGAGTTTCAATTTGCTTTTTTKGGAAACATTGTATGCTCCTTAAATATTAAGACCTATGACAACCAATTTGATATATTATAAACTTTCCTAACTGGCATTAAAAGACCTAATCATAACTTAAATGGTCACTCAAATACCATTTATAAACACCTCCTAAGCCACTACATAATGTGAGTAACAGCACACTTTAGAAAACAATGCCCTGTCCCTATGAGGTTGCTCATCACAAGTCAGCTCTCTCCCTCCACTTTCCCACAGGTCAAAGGTAAGTGAACCGTGACTCAAGTGTGAAAACACAACTCATTATCCTTCATTCTTAAATCTTTGTAGATTAAGCATTTATTATATATATTAATATATATTAGTTGTTTGGAGATGGACACAAYACCTTTGTTTTATTTATTTATATTTTTAATGTGGTGCTGGAGATTGAATCAATGCCATACATGTGCTAGTACCATTGAGCTATAATCCCAGCCCTAGATTAAGGTTTTAAAGTAGAAAAATAACTTGTTTTTAGATAGAAATAACTTATTTCTTGAGTCTGGAATTTAGATACCCTCAATTCTCATACAGAAGAGCACTGGGGGAAAAAACAAAAGTTATGAATACATAAAAACAACCATATCACAGGGCACAGTGGTGCACACCTRTAATCCAGCAATTAGGGAGGCTGAAACAAGAGGATCACAAGCTCAAGGCCAGCCCCAATAGTTTAGCAAGTCCCTAAGCAACACAGATCATTCACTCAAAAGATTTTTAAAGAAACAAGGGTAGGTATATAGCTCAGTGGCAAAGTACCCCAGGTTCAATCCCTAGTACAAAAAAAAAAAAATCCGGGCTGGGGATGTGGCTCAAGCGGTAGCGTGCTCGCCTGGCATGCGTGCGTGCGGCCCGGGTTCAATCCTCAGCACCACATACAAAGATTTTGTGTCCACCGAAAACTAAAAAATAATTATTAAAAAATTATCTCTCTCTCTCTCTCTCTCTCCCTCCCTCCCTCCCTCTTAAAAAAAAAAATCCATCCTAAGTTCTTAATACAAAAAAAATTTCCCTAATTTCAAGTCTAAATCCACCCACACACACACCTACCTTCTAAAATATTTTAGAAGGAAAAAAGGTAAATCTGTCCTTATATCCACCATTATTTTCTTTACCAGTCATTCTCAATGCTAAATTTTATTAAATTTAAAGGAATGTTGAAAGAACTAGAAATGATTATGTGTCAGTAGCAAAATCAGGAAACATTTACTGAGAATTGTCCATATGCCRCGCTTTAAGGAGATTTTTACATTTAACATAACAAAATACTTTGATTAGCTCTATTATATTGATGAAGAAACTCAGCTTTAGAGTTTAAGAAAGTTGACCCATATCATACCACTAGTGAAGCAAGAATATGAACCTAGGTAGTCAAATACATTTTCTAATATAAATATTTTTATTCAATATGCAAAATCAAACATTATTGTATTTTGTTATGGTTATATAAAATTTATTTTTGTAAAATATTCTAATAATTATCTTATTAACAGATCTATTCACATATTACCCGAAAGAACACTAGAACTAGAATTCTGTGACCTTGGTCCTGGGTCTGCTCTGCCACTAACCAGCTTTATGACTGCAGTCAAATTACTTACCCTCTTTACTCTTTAGGCTTCTGTATTCTCATTGGTAAGGTGGTGCAACTGGACAGGATTATCCTAAAGACCTTTTCACCTCTTTAGGATAATTGGTTCTTTAAATCTTGC